TTCAGGTTTTAAATCTTCATCGTCGATGAGATTAGGTAAATCATGTGACTCATTATCTATTGAGAGTTCCTTTTTTGGGTTAACAATATTTGTATTGTAAAGAATATCAGTTGTGGGCATTACATCAAACCCTACTGAGTCGTCTTGTGTTTGTGTTCCAATGGTTTTAGATTATGGATGTGATGTTTTCAGAATAGGTCGTACATCCATTGTCTTATTTCTTTTTTTATTTTGATAGTAACACAATTCTTGACATATTTTGATCCATTTATTATAGTCACTAGTTTTCTTATCATTTAAAATAGGTAAAAATGTTATATTTATTAAATCGTTTTCATTTTCACCTTTTACTAGTTTTTGATAAGCATTCGGACTCATTAAAATTACTTTGCTTAATTGATGCGTATTTCTAAGTACTGTTTAATATTTTTCCAAATATCGCCGAAAGCAATGAACTGATTAGAATTGGTAAAAATCCTTCCTTTTGGATGAGAACTTTTCTCTTGGAATTGATTGAACGTTTTGGGCATGAAATATAACGTAATGCATTTTTATACTTTTTGAGAGCATATAGTTGAGATTTTGATATCTTATGGTTTCCTTGTAATGTTTTCAACACTATTTCCACTAATGCTTTCACCAACTCAATATCACAATTACCTATAATTGCATTTCGAAGTTTGTGGTTGGCCCTTTTGAGCACATACAATAAATGTTTGTTCGCTTTCAATCGATTTAGATTCTTTTTGTAAACCATTTTCATCAGCAAAGCAAATTGTGTACACAGAATAAAAAATATCTGTTCGAAATCTCAGGAGATCATTTATTCCCTGAGTAAGGTCAATAAGTAAATAACCATGTGGCTCACCTGTGACCTCCTTATATATTCTAAATAGTTCCTGAGAGTTCTCAGGATAAATTTGTCTTGCCAAGCATTGATATTGCAGTTTATCTCTGGGGTTTTTGAATACAACGATTTTGTGTTTAGAGAAATATCTCGTGTATGTGATGATTTATGAAATATGTTTTGTGTAACTGTAGCAGCTAAAGTTTTTTTTTTTTTAATAAGTTTTATTTATTGAAGATTTATATAATATTTTCTATCCTTTAAAACAATTTATTTAGGTTTCTTCTGATCGCGTTTTTTGTGACAGTTCTTTTCGTAATGAGTATCAGAACCGCAATAATTGCAGTAAACAACTTCTGTGTATCCTCTTTTGCGTTGATCACTTCCAAACAGACGCTTAAAAGAGTCCATTTATGCTACTTTATGCAAGCGCTTAATCCATACTGGGATTTTATATTCTATACATATGTTTCACCATTACAGTATACATCATAGTTCGAATTTTCCAAGATAACAAAAAGCTTGAATACATTATTTAGTGCACATCTAAGAGGAACTTTTTTGTGAATCCTACAGTTGGTAAAATAATTTGGAAATAAGGTCAGACTTTTTCCTATATCAATATCAATAATGTTATTTGTTAAATACTTAGACAAGAACTTCTTCTTAATTCCACCACGTACTATTACGGTGCTAAATCTGTTAAGTGGGGATAGTATTTCACCTAAACTTAAATACGTTATTTCATCATTTGACCAGTCCAATCCATTTATGGTCTGACGGTACATGTTCTGCTGTTTAATCATTTCATGTTCCAATTCATTTATATGATATGGTGGTTTGAAATAAAAGAAGTTTGGCGTTACTGTTCCGGATTGCATAAACGCTAGTTCTTTAATACAAAGTTTTTTATTATTCCCAAAGATATATTGAAAATCAACTATCACGCTTGAATTCCTGTCGATCAAGTTCATGTCGGCTTAAGATTTTGTAAGAAACTGAATGAGTCAGTGATATCTATCCCATTTATATACCGCCCAATTCCGCAAGAGTTCTTAGTTTAAAAAAATCATTCAACCCTAATGGTCACGCTGCAATCAAAAATAATTAGGTCCACCAGAAAGAAGCAAGACCGCGAGGTCATTTTCGGGCTCGAATATTATGTAGTACATAACTTAAAACTAAAATGCGGGTTTTCAACTACAAGAAAATTCACACCAATGATCTGGATGCAACCAAGCAAAAACGATTTCATTGGACTAGACAAAGATGAATTGATGCAGTTGATTACCTACAAGGAGTATATTCAATCAAAACTTGATCAGTTTGATTTCTTGATGCCTGATACAATTATAAATCATCCCCTATTGAGCACTATTAAATGTAATTTTAGATTCAGAAAATTCGATGAGCAGTATGTTTTTATAATAAATTAGTTTGGAAATAACACTGAATTTGATAGCGAGTCCTGGAGATAATTTTTAAGATTAGGTATATTTTTACAACATTTTTATGTTGGAATACGATACTTAAACAACAAATTACATTCCTGTACTATAATAATATTATTCCTAAATGTGCTGCTTTACAAAAATTTGATATTCAACTCTCTGACTTATACGGTACTTATGATAAAAATGTTCAAATAGATTTAACGCGTTTATGCTTTAAAATTTCACAAAAAATGTATATTCAAATAAAACGCGATGTTCTTGAGTATAATCAATCACTTTTGGATACGCAATCATCCAGAAACAATAATAAAAAATAAAAATAAAAATGAGTAAGCAACAAGTTGTAAATGAAATACATAAGCCTGCCAGAAAAAACTTTATCCGACATAAATTCGTTCAAAATGGCATTAATGATACTTGGCAAATCGACTTAGTTGAAATGATACCCCATTGTAGGGAAAATAAAGGATTTAGACATTTACTAACCGGGATTGATACATTCTCAAAGTATGCATATGCTGCTCCCGTTAAGTCGAAAATAGCATTAGATGTGCTATCAGCAATGAAGAAAATATTAAAACTATCTAACCATAAACCTAAAAATATTCAATCTGATCAAGGAAAGGAGTTTTTTAATGCTTCCTTCACTGATCTTATGAAAACAAATAACATAAACCATTACCATACATATACACACCGAAAAGCATCTATTTGCGAATGTTTTAATAAACATTTAAAAGAACATTAAAAAATCGTATGTGGAAAATGTTTGTCGGCTAGTTCTCAGAGAATATAAGAGCTAGAGCCACCAAATTTTGGCTCCGGACTGCTGTATGATCACAGAGAAACCAGTGCATTTCAAAAATTAGCCCCGCCCCCTTCCGCCCACGCAAAAGGGCGAACCCCTTCCAAACCTATAGTTTTGAAGATAAAAGAAAACTTAGAGAGCCATTCCGTAGGGAATGGCCATATATATCCGATCACCAAATTGGGATCCAATTGGATCATTATTATAGCCACAATGAAGAAATTAATGTGCAGTGGCTAAACCCACCCTGTTCCGCAGCTTCTTTTGTTCTTTTCACATTCTCGAATTCACACTATGCGTCGCGCAGTGTGCGGCCTCTGCCTCTGCCTCGAGTCTGCAGTGTGTGGGTCTAGGGAACGCCCCCCTTCCCTAGACCTAGCTTAAGGAGCGTATTGGTGTGAGAAGTGTTGTAGATGTAGATGAAAGATGAAAAAAAAAAGTTAAATTTGACAAAACACCGCTAAGGTGCAGATGTAGTACTGAGTGCCGTGTATAAAAGTGGTGACGCGTAAGAAGCGTCTCACACGTCCCTTCTCGTTTCGATCTGAGTACTAGGCCTTAGGCCCAGTACTCAGACACGCAAAATATTCTTGCGACAGAAAGTGCTCTGTTCCCAGTTTGACCAAATATGACCAAAATGAATGCTCTCTGGTTACATTGCTTTGTGTTTGATTACGAAACGAAACCCGTTAAAAATTTAAATTTTGTATGAGAGCAGGAGGAGTGTGCTATGAATATAGATATGGAGCTTGGAGGACAACAATGCATGCCGAGAAGAGGCGAAGGCGACGATTTGGACTCGACACTTCACAGTTTTAAATTTAAAGGGCGTAAATATTCCTGTAGATGTTATTCCCAGACATATGCACATTTTCAAAAATTACTTATGGCCTTTGAGTCACATTTAAAAACTGCGAAATGTGCAAAGGGTATTGTTAGATGGTTTCCACACTCATAAACCATATTTATAATACTTACAAGTATAGAAAATCGACCCTTCTGGTTTCTTTCCTGCAGATATGGGTTTAATCAAGGTCTTCGGCGCTTATTTCGTGAATTTTCCTCCTCCTCCGTTAATGCAAGAGCCGCTAATCCCACTAAAAGTAATCTCCTGCATTGATCCATTTTGCATTCATCGTTTTATTATTTACTTTTTATACTGATACTTTTATTTACTTTCTGGCCACACTCTGCTTTTAGCAAAATGTATTGTACAGTTTGCTAGCAAACGTGTTTTTGGACCAGAGAACTAGACTTTAGCGATTAAAGTATTGAATCGGCTAAGTTTTCCGGTATATTTTCTGCTGATCTGAGTACTCAACTGAAAAGTTATTGCGATAAAATATTCTGTCGAACGAAAAACAGGGTTGATTTCTTACCGTTTGTTTGTGAAAATCATCCCTGATTCTGCCGCAAGAATAGTTTGCGTGTCTGAGTACTGGGCTTTGTATATCCTTTCATGGCGTGAACCTTATTTTGTAAGCAACCCAATAAGAAGAAGGCATGAGAACTGGACAATTTTGTGGAGAACCAATTGGTGAATCGAACGAAATTATAGTTTTAGTGCTGAGAGTCCATCCTACCCAATATTATTCATCAAAATATACATATATACAATTTTTTTATTTAATCGCTACAGCGAAATCGGTTGGTTGCAGACGATGAGTCCGCATTGACCAGGTACAAATGTTACTTAAAATTTTGAGCTCAAAAACGAGTTGTTTGCCGAACGAACACTTAAAATATGTAATCATCAGAATTTAAATCGAGAAAAACTACTTACGTTTCGGTATCTTTACGACATATTTAAAATAATATAAGGTGCCTTTGGTATATTTCTGAGGGTCAGACGGTATATTTGATCGATACATCCGCGGTCACACTGGTCGTCGGCCAAACAGTTTTTCCATCGAGTTGTTCTGCGAGCGTGTAGTCAAGAAATGCATGTTTAAATAAACATCAGAAAGAGCGTCGGTTTTTGTTCCATTGATACAACAGCCGGTTGCGAGGTCGCAAGAATCGAGTGCTTGTGTGTTTTCTCTTAGTCGCGTCCAGCTGCATAGCACAAATCTAGTGCCAGCTTCGAGGCGTGGATCAAGCGCGTGTTTCGGCTTGTATTTTGTTTTTAGTTGTTTTCTAGTGAGTGTGATTTTATATGTGAACTTTCCTTCTGGATCGAAAATAATCATTCGAAACCAAGTCTCCTTGACGCGCTTAAAGATAGCGAAAACCACTCGGCACGTTGAGTGGAGTTCAATCGGTGCCATTTAGAACGAACGGAGTGGATCGACACAGCGAATAGGTAAAGCAATGCAGAAGTCAACATGCAGTGTGTGTGTGTGTGTGTGTTTGGGATAATGCACGACAACCCGTTTAACCGGTCCGACACTCACCTCTGTCCATGATGCAATTATATAAGGTAGTCTCGTCTGCAAAACGGCACCACTAACAAATCTGTCAATAAGTGCGAGTGAACGGGCTCTGCGTAGCAAGTGTGAGTGAAACGACAATGAAGTGTGCTGAACCTTTGATGGCATGTGGCTTAACGTTGACCATTGCAAGAAAAATAGTTAAGTTTTTCTTTTTTATTTTTTATTTTTTATAAAACACAATTTTTTTGAGTAAGCTCTTAATTCTAAAATATATTGTTACTTTCTTGCTGCAAAACCTAAAGAATCATTCTTTCGTAGGCAAGGGTTAATATTTGTAGAAAAAATCGTCCGCACACAACTTTCCACGTCGACAAGCCCGCACTGAAACCTAATGGTGCGAACGCGAAGCGATTAGGCTGCCGACGGAACCACCTTATATAATTGCATCATGCCTCTGCCTCCTGTAAGCAACAACAACGAGAAGGGACGTGTGAGACGTTTCTTACGCGTCACAACTTTTATAGGCAGTCTGTACTACTTCTGCACCTTTGCGGTGTTTTGTCAAATTTAACATTTTTTCTTCATCTATCATCTACATCTACAACACTTCTCACACCAACACGCTCCGTTAGCTCGCTCCCCTTCCCTAGCCCACAAACTGCAGACTCGCGGCAGACGCAGTGGCCGAACACAGCAGAAGCAGAGTGTGAATGAGAGAATGTGAAAAAATCAAATATAAGCTGCGGGACGGGGTGAGTTTAGCCACTGAAAATTAATTTCTTCATTGTGGCTGTAATAATGATCTAATAGGATCCCAATTTGGTGATCTGATAGATATGGCCATTCCCTACAGAATGGCTATTTGTTTTCTTTCGCCCTTTTGAGGGGGCGGGGCCCATTTTTGAAATGCGCTTGTAACAGTGTGAGCAAACAGAAGTCTGGATGCAAAATTTGGTGGCTCTAGCTCTTATAGTCTCTGAGTACTAGGCGCTCATCAGGACGGAAAGACGGACGGACAGACAGACATGGCTCATTTGACTCGGCTATTGATGCTGATCAAGAATATATATACTTTATGGGGTCGGAAACGTTCTCTTCTGTGTGTTACATACGTTGTGCACAAACAATATACCCTATTTACCCTTCGAGTACCGGGTATAAAAATTGCACGAAAACTCCAGCATCAGCAGTGACCACGACCACACGATCGACAAAAAAACATTACCGAAAGCAAAAAATTCCGTCTTTGGTGCGGTGTGAATCTGTTGTGACGAAATATTGACTCGACCGACTATCAAAACAGGCCATCCACGATAGAATTTGTTCGGAAAACAAAAACAAAATTTTCATTGTACATGTTACCTTTAATATTTTAATTTTACTTAAAGAATCGGACGGCAGTACAAATAATTTATGTGATAAAAAAATTTCTCTTTTGCTTAAGTTAATTTTAATAAGGACACCATAGAAGAAAATTAAAAACTTTTTTCATAAACATATAGTAAATATGTTGATACAACATTAACTTTTTCTGTTTACGTTGACCGTACGCTAAGTTATAGGTGTTCAAACCATGTATGAGGAAAAACTCTTCGAAAACCGTAATTTTCATCTTCAAATGTAGGTAGCTAGTCCATATCGTAAGCTCGGTATGCATATGCATATATTTGTATGTACATACGTATATGCTGCATATATTGTTTTGTGGCGCTTTTTATTTTGATAATAAAATATGTGCAGGGAAAGAAACAAAGAGCAAGAGCGGTGAGCAAAACGACTAGCTTGTTCCTGCGACCATGATGCAATTATACAAGGTGGTCTCTTCGGCTGTCCTCGCTTCGTTTTTGCATTAGCTCTTGCAATGAATCGAAATTGTATATAACTTTATCATGCCTGTGACAGACTGCTCCAAATCGGAGAGTATGACGATCCCTCTCTTTACCAATCAGTGCCCCCCTTTCTCTCTTTATGTCTCTTCTGAACTCAATTTTTGCGGGCACTGACCATGTCCAAGTGTACAAAATACGCATTGACACACAGTCTCTGAGTTGAGTGAAGTTGTGCAGCGTAGCCATTTAGGGCTCAGTCAAAACTTAAGCGGCTCTCGAGCGTTTTCCTGCTGCGAGCGAATTAAAGCTGCAAAGAGAGGAAACCCAGATACGAACATGGGGACTGTTGGATGAGTGCATGAAGAAAGTATAAGGAGGTCTCGTCGGCAACACTAAGCAGAAGGGGGCGAGTGTAAAGTACGAGTGAAAGGGCTCTCGCTGCAAGTGTGAGGGTAACGACAATGGAGTGTGCTCATTAATCATTTGAAGGCAATGTGAAAAAACATAATAATTGTTTCATAATTGAATTTTTAATAGTTTGCGACATGATAGTAGTCTTTGTTTTGAAACAAAAAAAACATTTTGAAAAAAGTTTTAAAAAAATTTCGTTTATTTTTTTTCTTCATGGATGAGTGGCAATGCAGCGTGGTGGTTGCTGCGGCGGCGACAGCGCTTCTGAGAAGCAAATGCCAAAAAGAAGTCGCTGCTTGCAGCCCACATAAAATACGCACGCACACCCTTACACAGTTGTTTGCGTGTGCATGCGTGCAGTTGTGTACAAGAATACATTGTTATTCTGGAAGCCAGCAAGTGCAACCAAAGACTCAGCCACACAGCATACCTACCATCTGCTTATACTCTTCCGCTTCCAGCTATTCCATATTGGTACGTCCCAATTAAATGGACTTTACATACATACATATATACATACATACATACTACATACATACATACATACTACATACATACATACATACACACATACATACATATGCATGTGCCTCAGTCAGGGCCCATCAATACCCAGTCGGACTTAGTTGCTTCCAAACAGTACTTCTGTATCGATCCCTTTTCCACTAAGCATGAGTACACTATGCGTGACGTTTTCGCTTCCAATTTACAGTGGGTGAAACACGCGGGAATCAGTCCTTTTTGTTCTAGGTAGAACTGGTGGTGAAACGCTCTGGTCTCCCTTCCAGTGTATTTTTCGGAAGAAGGATTACAGAACACGTCTTTGACATGCACCTAGATGCGTTCCTTGGGAATGTATGGTGGTATGCATATAATATAGTGCCACAGGAACCTATTAAGAACCGTTCCGGAACTGTTCAATGGATTCATTCCATATCACATCCGTGGCATGAATAAAAGAGCGTTCTCAAAGAACGAAAAGAACATATGACATATGTACACAAAAATAGACATTTTTAAATTCATTGAGTTTATTAAATAAGATAAAAAGGCTGTGTTGCAAATAAGAGAAAGAAATCTGTAAGCATGTATAAATTCTCCTTGTGCATATCCACGCTGTGCACGGTTTCCAAAACGCAAGTAAACCGTTTTCTTTTTTCCTTGTCTCACCCATGAAGCAATTATATAAGGAGGTGCTGTCGCTTGGCGTTCGGGTTTGTTCGGTCTCTAGAGGTTCAGTGCGCGCTCGCTTGTTCATGGTTGTGTGCGGACGAATTTTTTCGCTTTTTTAACCCTATTAAAGGGTTAATCAGAACACTCCATTGTCCTTTTACTCGCACTAACAGCGTAGAGCCCTTTCACTCGCACTCACAAGCAGCATCTATAAGAGACAAACGGTCCCGACGGCACCTCCCTTTATACAGCTGCTGCGTTTAGCACCATGACACTAATTTACCTCCTTTGAAATATTTTGTTAAAACAATGGTCCTAATGAACGTTTTTATAACTATTATATCAATTTTAGGCATTATTATTTTAGGCTCAATTCAACTTATCCGAGAGCAATGGTAAGTTGCTTTGTAAATGCTTTGGAAATATTTGTAAAGAAAAGTAATTATACCGGTATTTGGGCGGCAACAAAATTAGCACCAATTTCATAAAAACTCAAAAAAGAATTCTTCTCAATTGTTCATTAATATAGTTTACTTTAATTGTTTAATAATTTGTTTTAGGGCTTTTGGCAGGAAAAAAAAGGCTCAAAGTCCTGTCATAAAATGTAACCTTATTTTCGCGTCTTTCCTGGGGGATTCATCTCCACAAATCTGGCAAGACCCCCACATAGAAAGCTTTTTCCTTGATTTCGTATTAGAAACATATTATTTAACTGTTCCTCAAAGATTTTTACAATAGTTCATGTCTGAGGACTAAGCAAGAGATTTCCTTGATTTCGTATTAGAAACATATTATTTAACTGCCTCAAAGATTTTTACAATAGTTCATGTCTGAGGACTAAGCAAGAGAAAAAATTGCATAAAAGTCACTGTATTAAAACCTGTTGGTCTGTTTTGGGTAATTTCCCTGCATTATTGTGTTATTATATAATAACAAAGACATGTGGATTCATCATCGATTCCAGCACGGGTACCATACCACCTCCATAATACGAAAATCATGCATACCATGATTTTTGCCTCAGCATGATTGTTACATTTTAATGTCAGTTAAAGGGGTTTGTTTTAATTAATTAATTTAATTTGTATTAACTAATTTAATTAATTTATATTATATTCTTAATTTATATTCTTTTAAGTTAGATCTAGCTTTGCTTATCTTTGGAAATTTTTTAAGATCCTTTTTAAGCCGGCTTAAAAGGACCCCTCTTGCTCTCGGAAACCGCTTGCTCCGAAATGTGGATATTACGCCCATTCTTTCACGATTTTCTTGTTGGTAACATGTTTTAAAGCATTACGAATCATTTTATATGAGGAACCTACTATTTACCTCACCATAAGGAAAGCTTTCTTTCCTTCTCTTCTTTTGGAGTTAAAATTTTGATACTTTGATAAGCTACCGATTATTATATCAATTAAAAACTTAATATATCAAAAAGCTCGGAAAAGAAAAAGTTTATATGAAATACAACTTTTGGTGGTTTTTAGTGCCGTTCAATTTCGTTTCTTTTTCGAAAAATTGCCTAAAATATTGAGAACCGCCAAAATTGTAAGAGTAATAACACATCTCTCAGGTAGGAGACATCTCAACCTACTTTATATTATTGCAAAAAATGTTGTATGGATCACATTTTTGAAAAAATAAAGACTGTTGTTCCACACGGTGCTTTTATTTTCGCCGCAACTGTAATTGCTTCATGGTCTCACCCTCACCCATGAAGAAACTATAAGGAGGCCTCGTCGGCAACACTAAGCAGAAGGGGCGAGTGAAAAGTACGAGTGAGAGGGCAACGACAATGGAGTGTGCTGATCATGAAGAAAACATTTGTCCGCAACCAACCTTCCGCGTCGACAAGCAAACGAGCACTGATCAAAGGCAGAACCAGCGAGTAACTCTGCCACCGACAAGGCCTCCTTATAATTTCTTAATGGTCGCATTGTCCCATTGTCGGTCGCACGAACCTGAACCGCTTCCGCTTCGGGTCTATTTCCATCCTACCGCCAACCGATACCTCTTCTATGCATTCTTTTGGAGGTATGTTGGCCTTCGGAAAAAACCAGAAAGGTCGGGAAGCTGTTCGGGTTACATTTACTCCTTCTTGGTGGAAAATATGTATGAAAGAACGCTTCTTTTGGGGAACCGGTTCTGCATAGTCTGCCAGGGAGGGATAAAAAAACGCTTCTTTTTCGCAACCACTTCCACAAGCCGACTGGCTATTTCCCTGAAAATAGTGATCATGTATCTCTCCAGTCTCACTTCTTTCGTGTTTGCGTTTGAGGAGTTTAGTTTTGGGGTTTCGTTAAGCCAAACGCAGACAGCAGCCATAAAAAACGTAAAAAACACCACAGCCAAAACTCGTTAACGCACATGTACATGTATTATGTACACTTGTGTGTATGTTTACATGTACACATTGAACTATGGGAAATTTGACCACTTTTTGTGCCAATAATTAGTAAGTTGCAAGCCGAGTCGATGCGAGTTGAGCGCCTGGATCTCAGAGACTTTAAAAGCTAGAGCCACCAAATTTTGCATTCGGACTTCTGTATGCTCACACTGTTACAATTGTATTTAAAAAATTAGCCCCGCCCCCTTCCGCCCCCGCAAAAGGTCGAAAACCTCCCAAATCTACAATTTTGAACACAGCAGAGAAGGAAAAACGCCATTCCGTAGGGAATGACGATATCTATCAGATCACCATTGGGATCCGATTGGATCATTATTATGGCCACGACGAAGAAACCCACCCCGTCCCGCAGCTGTTGTTGTTGTTTTCACATTCTCTTATTCACACTCTACTTCTGCTGTGTGCGGCAACTGCGTCAGCCGCGAACCTTCACTTTATGGGTCTAGGGAGCGAGCTAAAGGAGCGTGTTGGTGTGAGAAGTGTAGTAGATGTAGATAACAGATGAAGAAAAAATGCAAGATTTGAGAAAACTCCGCTAAGGTGCAGAAGTAGTACTGAGTGCCGGGTATAAAAGTTGTGACGCGTAAGAAGCGTCTCCCACGTCCCTTCTCGTTTTTTGTGTAGCATCTTATTTTTATTTTTTTGTTTTTTTAGGTTATAAGTTACCGCTCTACCCTTAGGTAGAGGGGAATTATTTGGCCACCCGCCTTTACAAGGGGGAAATCGCCACGTCGTAATATGTAACTTGTTACAGTCCCGCAGCTGTTGTTGTTGTTTTCACATTCTCTTATTCACACTCTACTTCTGCTGTGTGCGGCAACTGCGTCAGCCGCGAACCTTCACTTTATGGGTCTAGGGAGCGAGCTAAAGGAGCGTGTTGGTGTGAGAAGTGTAGTAGATGTAGATAACAGATGAAGAAAAAATGCAAGATTTGAGAAAACGCCGCTAAGGTGCAGAAGTAGTACTGAGTGCCGGGTATAAAAGTTGTGACGCGTAAGAAGCGTCTCCCACGTCCCTTCTCGTTTTTTGTTTAGCATCTTATTTTTATTTTTTTGTTTTTTTAGGTTATAAGTTACCGCTCTACCCTTAGGTAGAGGGGAATTATTTGGCCACCCGCCTTTACAAGGGGGAAATCGCCACGTCGTAATATGTAACTTGTTACAGCTTTGCTACAATACTTACCTGGCGTAGAGGTTATGTTCCCCACGTGCTTGCAGTGTGCCCAGACACTTTTTGTTTAGCATCTTAATTAAAAAATAACCCAAATTGAGTTGCTGCAAATATTTTTAAGTCATTTTCAGCGCGCATATGCCTAATATGGGGGGTTAATAAGGTTAACATGTCAAAAGGATTCGTCCGAACCGAAACTCAAATTTGAACCCAGTTCGACAAACTTATCATGAACACAATGCTCTTTTTAACCGTTCCATCGCTTTTCTCTTACAGCTCCCCATCGCCATTGACAGGCACCTACCGATGGGCTATCCATAAACTGTGGCGGTGGTGCGACAGAACTTTTATCAGGTAAGCGACAAAGTTCCCACAACCATTGCCTTCTTCCGTATCCGCATCTAATAAAGGAAATAATTTCCAAATGAAGACTTGCTTCACGTTTGCTGTCTTTGTTATCTTATTTCGGTAGGTGTATTCACACATACATTCATGACGTAATTATACAAGGTGGTCTCGTCGGCAAAAGTAGTCGACTACCTACATATGCCGTTTATAAGTGGGATTGAAAAGGTTAAACGTAGAAAGTGTGGCTGAAACTAAGGTACAGTGTGCTGAGTAACCCAGATGGCTTGGGGTTTAGAGTTGCTCATTACACGAAAAATAGTTGAAGCTAGTTTTTACAATTTTATTTTTCAATAGCCACAGATTTTTTGTGTAGGCTCTTAATTCAAACAAAAATTCGAATTTTCTTGCTGCTTTCCCTGCGCATAAGAGTGTCGGAAAAATTCAGTGCTTGTGCGCTTGTCGACGCGAAAGGTTGGGCGCACACGACATTGTCGTTTCACTCACACTTATTGACAGCATTGTTAGGCTCCCCTAATTTTGCAGACGAGACCTCCTTCATGGTTGCATCTTGGCCAAAGCAATATAGAGAGGAAAGAAAGGTAAGGCGTGCTCAACGAAGACACATTCTAGGGAAGTTCCGTTATTGTTGCCAGAGCAGAAAGGGCACTGCTGCACCGATCAAAAGTTTTAAATCGATAGAGATACATATTGTTGTGTTCAATGAAATAGTAGTGCCGGACCTCCTCACATTCAAAGACTTTTTTGAGACACTTCTTTCAATTTAAAGAAATTATTGCTTTTTGAATAGAGTGGAATGTAGGCTTTAGAAAATCAAAGAAATCCCTACCCATTTGCATTCCATCTTCTTGTTTTTCATAACTTTTGACGGATACCCTTGAAATGGGCTGTTCATTGAAATATAAGTGCTGAGTGCAGGTACTTCAAAATAATTAAAAAACACAACAAATAAATTCGAAAAAGTCACCAAAAATAAACTTAATCTATTATATTAAACATTTTGATGAAAGAAATGTTTGGACTTGGTTGTATTTTTGTTTTTGGAGCTTAGAAAAAATCATGGTTTGCTCCAATAGAGAATAAGATTTTGATTAAAAACTAAAGCCAAGAGGTATAATGGAACTGAAAACTAATTTGAATGTTCTCTTACTATTGCAATTAACAATTTTAACAAGAAGAAGATCCCTTAAAACTGTTCTTTTATGCGAAGAACGTATCTTTTAGAGGTTGGTCGAAGGCAAGGTCAAGGTCTTCAATATCCTCAAAAGTTATGAAAACAATTTTATATCGCTCTGTAAGTGTTCTGACAGCTCGTTGACGACTGACTAGACATTATTTAATTGCAAGAAGTTCCAGAAAGCTACGCGATTGGTTCTGAGGGTATAGGGGTGTACGACTAAAGTTCGCAAGAACGCATGTGGCTGAGCTGTGTCACAGTGAAAACGAGAAGGGACGTGTGAGACGCTTTTTACGCGTCACAACTTGTATACCCGGCACTCAGTACTACATCTGCACCTTAGCGGTGTTTTGTCAAATTTTAAATTGTTTCTTCACATGTCATCTACATCTACAACACTACAACAATTCCGGCAACCAGAGCAAGGTGAGTTGTTATAGTGCCGTGGTTATACAATTATTGGCTAAAATCCCATATAAGCTTGGGTAGGACCTTATTGATTTATTTCAGCAAGGAGCAAGGAAGAAATTAAATCAAAATTGATAGAAAAATAAGTACTAAACGTCAAGAAACATGTAGAGCATGAAAGATGGGTATTAACTTAAGTTTCGGTTTCTTTTTCGATTTTCAAAACAGCACTATTCATTTGTATTTTTGCAAAGTCATGTAAAACAAGAAGATGGAATGCAAATGTTCCAGGATTCCTTCTGGTTTCTAATGTGTACATTTCAGGATTTCTAAAAAGGTATCACCTTTTTAATATGGATGATTGAAAATGTCTTTTATTTTCGTAATGTCTGGACGTTGATATGCAATGACTGCACCATCAAAACACCCAAGCGACACCAAGCCAAAGCCTGTTACGCGCGGAACCCAGCAGAACGCAGCCCTCCTCCCGCCTCCTCCCGGGAATCGTAAAGTTTATGCGGCTCAACAAGTCAGGGCTGTCTACATCCCCCTTGATCAAGTTATGCATAAAAATTACACCAAGCATTTTTTTACGACTTACTAAGGATGGAAGATTTTTTAAAATAAGTCTACTACGGTAGGATGGCAGTCCCACAGTTGCATCCCAGTTGAGGCCCCGTAGGGGAAATAATAAAAAGTTTTTGTGTACTGATTCAATACGGTCCTGATGTATGTTGTACTGGGGGCACCATACACATGAGCCGTATTTTAAAATCGGACGAACGAGCGAGATATAAAGAGTCTTCGTTATATAGGGGCCATCAAATTCCTTTGACCACCTCTTTATAAACCCAAGCACACCCATGGCTTTATTTACCATGGTAGAAATGTGTTCAGAAAACTTTAACTTGGGGTCTAGTTTAACACCTAGATCATCAACCAATGTAATTCTCTCAAGAGAACTACCGCAGAGGGTGTAATGATCCAGGGAGGGGCTGGAGCGATAAAAAGTCATTAAATTGCACTTCGAGGCATTAAGGTGTAACATATTTGCACAGCACCATGACTGAAAGCTATTGAGATCAGATTGCAAGCGAGAGTGAAATAAAATGTCTTTATACTGGACACAGAGCTTAGCATCATCCGCATTCATAAGTACTCGAGAATTTGTCAATACAGAAGGCAGGTCATTAATAAAGAGTGTGAAAAGTATGGGGCCTAAATGGCTACCCTGTGGTACTCCAGAAGTAACCATAACAGGTAAAGATAAGGAGTTTTTGAAGAGGACTCTTTGAGACCTAGAACACAGGTAGCTAGAAATCCATCTCAAAAGTTTGGGCGGAAACCCTAGAGGGTCAAGCTTTTGTGCAAGAAGAGAATGATTTACAGAATCGAATGCCTTACTGAAGTCAGTGTAAATATCATCCGTCTGCAAGTTACCTTGGAATCCTTTGATCGTCGCCGTATAAATCTGTGCCGAGCTGGAGATATAAGTGATTTGCAGAGATGTTGCAAGTGGAGAGTTAAAATTTTCTTGAACATTTTAGGAATCGCGGATAACTATGATATACATACCTCTATATATTTTAGCGTAAGACGTGCTTCCTGGAAGGATTCCTTCCAGATGGGGGGAAAGATAGAAGAGTGGATGGATAGAGTGAATAGTTCAAGCAAAGGTCCGCACAGAGACTCGGCACAGTACCTGAGTACACAGCCGGGAACTCCGTCAGGGCCCTGTGAAAATACCGGCTTAACTAATTGAAGTTCATGAAGTAAGGAGCCTTCATATAACAAAGGGCAGAAAATGCCATTCGACCTTGGTAAACTATATGGATACATATGACCTGGGTAGCTTTGCTGGGAATAGGTTGTTTGAAAAAATGTTGCAAAAAGATCGGCGATTGCCTGATCATTGTTTGCCGACATATTCAAAAATGATAGCGAGGATGGATGTGCGGACGTTCTACGCTTACTGTTTACAAAGCTGTAGAACTGTTTAGGGTCCTGTGAAAAACGTATCCTGCATCGAAGTAGGTAGTTCCTATAGCATTGAGCATTAAGAACAGTGACATTTGACCGAGCTATTAAGTAATTAGAAAGAGAAGAGGGAGAACCAACTTCTTGAGATTTTTTAAATAGTCTTAATTTTAAGTTCTTTAGACTGGATAACTCTTTGGTGAACCAAGGAGGTTTCGCAGATCTAGTCGGACATGAGAATGGGACACACGTACCAAAAATTGTGTTAAGTACGAGAAGGGACGTGTGAGACGCTTCTTACGCGTCACAACTTTTATACCCGGCACTCAGTAATACATCTGCACCTTAGCGGTGTTTTTACAACTTCTGAATATTTTCTTCATCTGTCATCTACATCTACAACACTTCTCACACCAACACGCTCCTTTAGCTCGCCGCTCTTCCCTAGACCCACACACTGCAGACTCGTGGCAGAGGCAGAGGCAGCGCCAGCACACAAAAAAAAAAAAAAAACAAATATAAGATGCGGGACAGGGTGGGTTAAAAGTCGGCAAAGGCAGTGTCAAAGGGTGGGCAGAGGCAGGGGCCGAGTGAAGCTGAAGCAGAGTGTGAATGAGAGAAATTAAAAAGAACAACAAGAGCTTCGGGACAGGGTGTGTTTGATCTTGGTTGGTGATCTGATAGATATGACCATTCCCTACGGAATGGCGTTTTTAGTTTTTTCTTATCTTCAAAATTGTAGATTTGTGAGGTTTTCGCCCTTTTGCAGGGGCGGAAGGGGGCGTAGCTCATTTTTGAAATACACTGGTTTCAGTGTGAGCATACAGCAATCTGGAGCCAAAATTTGGTGGCTCTAGCTCTTATAGTCTCTGAGAACTAGCCGACAAACAAGACGGACAGACAGACATGGCTGATCAAGAATACGGTCGGAAACGATTCCTTCTGTGCGTTACATACAACCGTTATTCCCCACAAATACAATATACCCTATTTACTCTTCGAGTACCGGGTATAAAAAACAAATAAAAGCTGCAGGACGGGGTGGGTTAAAAGTCGGTAGAGGCATTGGCAGGGGGAGGGCAAAAGCTGGGGCCGAGTGAAGCAGAAGCAGAGTGTGAAGGAGAGAATGTAAAAAGAGCAACAAAAGCTGAGGGACAGGGTGGGTTTAGCCACTGGAAATTAATTTCTCCATTGTGGCTATAATAATGATCCGATCGGATCCCAATTGGCTCTTTTTTTAAATACACTTGTAACAGTGTGAGCAAACAGAAGTCTGAATGTAAAATTTGGTGGCTCTAGCTCTTATAGTCTCTAAGAACTAGCCGACAAAAAAGACGGAGAGACGGACAGACAGACATGGCTCTATCGACTCTTCTATTGATGCTGATCAAGAATATATATACTTTATGGGGTCGGAAACGTTTCC